ATCATCTCACTGGACATAACCAATGGACATTGACTTTCACTGGGTGTAACCAATCACCAACTTGGTTATATTTAAATCGCTTGTCCACCACATCAAGAGGCTGCTTCTAGGACATCAGTGAGACTGGCCACCTTGATATCCATCCTCAGATGACTCCATCATTCCCTGTCGTCCAACCATTGGCTAGAGAGAACCACTGGACAATGACAACAACAACAACAATGTCTGCTCTTTGGCTAAGGGAAGTCACTTAACCTCTGTCAGGGAGCTTGGGATTGCCCTAGGATTGTGTGATTTGCTTGTAATGGTAATTAGTGTGCATTAAATGTTAGTTGGGGTGCTCCAGCACACCCAACACTTTTTGCATTAATTGTTTATGTTTGATGATTGGTGTGATCCAATATACGCTTGCATTAAAGAAAATCTGCCTCTGAGTAATTATTAACAGCGCAGCTTGTGACATCCTCCTACTCACACTCCCTCACAGATTTGTAGCAAAATTCACGTAATTATCTATTTAGCAAGAAAATTGTTGAAGTTGATGGAGTTTTCCATGGAAATGATCCATTTGACCCCTGTCCAATGACACAGCAATATTTATTGCTTATCATGAAGAGGCTAAAGTATCTCCAATATCAAGGTTTACAAATAAGCTGATTTACAAGACAGCAATATTGCTTATCAGTATTTAAAAAGCACTTGACAAATTCTTATCAAATATATTCTTATCATTTTAAGAGTTATGTTTTCCCATGTGTATAATTTATCACTATGAAAATTTCATCACAAAACTTAGTAACTTCAAACAACAATCATTTTACCGGCTACCAGTTTTGTGAGTCAACTAAGTACGCGCGCGCGCACACACACACAAACACACCATGTTGGTTCTACATCTCTAGAAAATCCTAATTAGCTAGGTGAGGTGGCCCATGCCTATAATCCCAGTGACTTGCAAGGCTGAAGTAGGAAGGTCGAAAATTCAAAGCCAGCCTCAGCAACTTAGTGAGGCCCTGAACAACTTAGTGAGACCCTGTCTCAAAAATAAACAGCAGGCTGGGTTTGTGGGTTAAGCCCCCCTGAGTTCAATCCCTGGTATAAAGAGAGAGAAAGAGAGAGAGAGGTAAATAAAATCCTAACCAATTAACTCTACTTAGATTGTCTAAGATGTCATTGATAGTGTCTGCTGCTCACACTCTTGTAACAGTGTTCTGAGACTGTCCTGTGAAGAGCCGCCACGTAGCTTGGACCTTAGCACTAACCTAAGAGAGTGAGAGTGATATCTGCAAAGCTTCTTAGGGACTGTACTTTGAAGTCACATTTTACCTCTGTAGAGTTCTAGTAGGTCAAATAAGTTCACTAGCCCAGCTTAGAGTCAGAGCAGGAGCCATTATGACAACCATACTGCAGTCTATTGCACAATGCACTCTCAAGGAGCTCCTCTTATTTAACAGCCTCAGAACAATTGTCTTCTCCTATGATCAATTTCATACACTTTAATTTTTTCAATATGAATTTTCATTGCATTCCATGACACTTTTAGTTTTCTGTGCTTTAACATTTATGGAACACTTCCATGTGCTATTTTCAGTACTTTATGTAAATTAACTAATTTAATTTTACCACAGCTTTTCAATTAGGTAATATTATTATTTACATTTTCCCACAAAAACAATCTAGGACATAGAAAGTTTATCTACCTTACCCATGTGACTAAAAGATTTAATGATTCAGTTAGGATTTGGATGTAGGCTTTAAGACTACAACATCTACATGCTTAACCATAATGTGATTAAAGCATAATTTTTAAAACTTTATCTTATTTATTATTTTCTATGAATTTTGAATGCAAGAATAGATAATATTCTCACTGGTCAAATACAATAAGATCTATTAGACTATGACTGATAAATAACTGAAGAGAACATTGCCTTTGTCTTTTTCCTACTTGATGCTAGCAAATTCCTTTCACTCATCTTTCACTCCAAACAAAACAAACAAAAATGTAAAACCCCAAAGTAAAACAAAACAAACCTTAAGCCAACTATTAATAATATATTCCAAAACTATTGTTAAAAATATATTAAATTTAAGTTAGTATTCATTAACAGGAAATCCATTACTAAAATGTGTATACCAATAGGACTAAAAATAAATTTGTATATTTAATTCCATGGGGAAAAGGAAGTTGATGAAATCCAACATTCAATTCTATATTGAAAAATAATGCATTCAATAAAAGAGAAATTAATTTTCTTCAAATGACTTATAAATCAGTTTTACAAGGAAATCTTAGAATCATTTCTATGAAATTTTAAAATAAGACAAAAATGGAATTATCTTCATTACAATTGTAAACATAATTTTAGAACTACAAACAATAAAATTAGACAAAGAGGGTAACTAGTCTTGTAAATATTGGAAAGAAGACATAATTTATCTTTAGTTTTAGTTCATTTAAATGTATATTTGGAAGAATATTACAAAGTACAAGTGAATACATACAGGAAATTAAAAGATATAAAATTTAAATTGAGATATGAGTAGAACTTTATACAAATAGTGAATAGTAGACATACTATAAGAAAGTTAAGTTTTTCATAATACCAACACAAAAGATAACAGTACTAGGTTTTAATTTAACCAGATGTATACAAAACCTATAAAGAAACAATCGTAAACACCCAGAAACACAGAAAGAGTCACTTTTATTAAATTAAATTATTGATTTTCTTTCCATCCTTTTCATATTCTGTTTCTCCCTGCTTTGCCATTTTCAGTCTCTTACTCTGAGTACTCATGCACTCAATATTGAGAAACAAGAGAAGATGATTGCCTATTTAATATAATTTACCAATACTGTCTAAAAGTGGAGAGGTGGTATAATGAATATGGTAGAGGAAAAATTAAAACCCAGGGTAACATTTGCATCTTGTAAAGCTTAGCAAAATATTCTTATATCAATTAATCTGCCTTCTTAGGGGGAAAATTACAAATATATTTTCCTTTTGATTGCAGGAGATTTTCATTGATTTTATAAATAAAAAAGTAAACTTTCCTATCCAGACCTTCTCTAGAAACAACTACGCAGACACCAAACCAGGTAGGAATAAAGGGAAACTTGGTATTGAGGCTATCTTTATATTCAGCTACTTTGGAAAGCATTTCCTTGGCATTTTTAATTAATAAATTAATTTGTTTATTTTTATGGTACTGGGGATTGAATGCAGGGGCACTCTACCACTGAGCCACACCACTGGCCCTTTTCACTGTATTTAGAGACAAGTTCTCTTTACATTGTCCAGGCTAGCCTCCAACATGTAAATCCTCCTGTTTCAGTCTTCACAGTCACTGGGATTACAGGCATGCACCACCACACCCAGTGGGATACATGATTCTACATGTATTTTACATGATTTTTACATGTAATCTTCATGATTTTATGATGAGTCACACAAAACACTCAAAGGTGTTGAAAGTGTCAATAAGACAATATTAGAAGTTCCCCAAAACACATACCTATATCAATTTACATTTGAAATATAAATACTCTGTTAGCACAATTTAACAATTTCTAAAACTACTAGATCCCTAACAGGTCTGCTCTAGTATCTATGATATTGATTTCAACATAAGTACACAAAGGAAACAAACTCCCAATGAAAGACAAAAAACAAAAAATGAATGGTGGTGTGAAAAATATATGGAATAAAAAGATAAGAACATAGCACTGGGACAAAATAGGATCTTCAGAAATAGATAATAAAATTTAATGATTTGGAGATACACTTTATTTCTAAATTAATTCCATTTTTTGTGCAATAAATCTTATCCATGAATTTTCTCCAATAATATTCACAGCTGTGACAACTGATCTTGGGAAAACAATAAGATTGGATAAAGTCATTTCAATATGCTTGTACTAAGTAGCTGGCTGCTTAAAAAGCTTGCTGTTGAAAGTCATGTTTTAATAACATGGAAATATTTTATTTATAACACTTTCAATGATCACAAGTAATAAATGAGACATTTGTGCAGGTAGCTTACTAAAAACTACCTATTCTTAGGCCCATTTTTTCCTTCTTGCCTTTCTCAGTTGTCTGAAGAACTCTAGCAAAATAATTGGCTTCCCACATCTCTTTAGTATCAAGTATTTGAAAGAGATTATATTAACTTCTTCTCTGTATATGAAAAGGAATATGTAATATGGAGTAGAGTGTTGTCTTGATTAAAGTGAAATGGGGCATATACTCAACTGTCAAAATCCTCAAAGGGTTTAACTTTTTCGATAGAACATAAGATCAATGGGAAAAGAGATTAAGTGGTGTGGGTAGGACAAGTTAGAACAGATCTCATGAGAACAGGGTGGAGTGAAATGAAATAGATATCATTTCCCTTTGGGAAGTGAGGGCCTAATTGTGCTCTGATGAAAAAAAAAATCTTTAAGCTGTTCATTGAATTTTTTCTTGTTGTTGTTACTATGGATTGAACTCAGGAGGCACTTAACCACTCAGCCACATCTGCAGCCCTATTATTTATATTTTATTCATGCACCACTTCACTTGGCTTTGTTGACTTCTTGAAAAACAACCCTTGACCTGATGAATGAGACTTGTCATGGATGAGGGAATAAGGAAAACATTGCCAGACATTTGTCCTTACTGTCCTTATGTCATGGTACATCAGTCAGGGGAAAAACAAAACAAAATTAAAAAAAAAAAAAAAAAAAAAACATTAGAACGAGGTCAATGTAACTGTGTCTTATTTGGAAACTGAATAAGAAATAGAGATGAAAACATTGTTTTAGAAAAATTAATTTGGTGGCAATTTTTTGTAGGGTTTCAAAAGATATAAAGCACTTCTGAAACTAAAATCTAGTAGGAGTCTCACTGTATAGTGCTGAGAGTGAGCTTAAGAGTGAGGGAATCTGAATGGATGTTTGAATCATAGACTAAGAAATGAAGAAGAGGCAATAACCCACAAAAGAGTAAAGGAAACTCTAATTTTTTGTACTTTTCATTCAATGCACAGAAAAATATCTGGAGAATAGTTTAATCTTACAGTATTTTGTTGTTGCTGTTGAATCAAGTCCAGTGAGAAACTTATTCCAAAGAGGAAAACTAGGGAAAGTAGGAATTATTATATTCTGCTAGTGAAATTAGTTAGTGCAGCCAACCCATCACAAAGATTAAAGTCTAGTTCAGATTTTTTTCCCCAGTAACAGACTATAGTAGCAGAAGCCCATATGTATTCAGGCAACATTTACTCATTGTTAGTAAAGATAACAAATAAATAGACACATGATTGGCTTACTTTACTTCCTTCTTAAAAACAATATTCTACATAGCTGGTATTCATAACATGTGTAGACTTATAGAATTAACTCCTTCAAAATATGTTTCTAAAGAGCATGAACACAAGTTGCTTATCCTAAAATAATTTATAATATACACTGTAAATGTATAGAAGCAAATATTTCCAGAATCAGAGGCAATCATTTCTGGGGGATTTGCATTTAGTACTACATTATTCTTCTGCTGGGATTGAAAAGGAGTGTAGTTACAGGGTGAAGGAGTGTTTCAACTATTCCAGACTGAGAGTGTATATTTGCAAAACTGCAACCCACTGATATTTGTATTATGCCTCAGGGAGTCTAAAATGCATTTGAAGTTCCAACTCCTGGAACATGGAAAGGCCCAGCCCAGAGCACTCTAATGAGCTTCAGTTTAAGAACTGTGGCTTTGGATTTAATTTGGCACATGCTGATATGAACTTCAGATAAAAGTTTTTGCTGCACATGGATAGAGGCATAGCTACATGCATGGAAGAACCAGAGTTGAGATATGAATGTTCCCGGAAACGTCTATCGAGAGTCCAAGCATGTAGCCATAGTGTGGGATAGTAGGTAGGAGGGATCCTGGGTCAGGAGGGCAGAGTGAGACTCAGGCTAGTCTTCCTTGGACAGCAGACTGGGAAATTTTCAGTGGCAGCTATACCCTTATCTTGGGTGCTATTAGGGAATCCAAATCTATTCGGAGAAAGATCAAAGTGACCAGAGCACTGCAATGTGTGATCTATAGAAATTGAAAAGGGTTTCCTAAGAGAAGAGGACTGTCCACAGGAAGCAAGTCCTGGTGCTCACAGAGACAGTCTCTAAGAGACAACCTTCAGTCCCCAGGGAAGACCTTAGAGAGAACAATATAGGTCTTTGCCCTTTGGAGACCTGGACATTAAATAAGGTACAGAAAAAAAAAATTATAGGATCTGGAACATGAACTGTGTTATCCAAATAGAGGAAGATGAGCTATGACTTCAGGAAGAGTTTGACACACCCGGTAAACAGCAGTGGAACACAGTGTCCTGGGTCAATAATTCATCAAAGGAAACCAGTCGAGGCAGGAAATATAGTGTCAGGTTACAAACAGCAGTCATAAGATAGGGAGATTGAAGAGGGTAAATACTGTCTTATCTGGTCTAATCTAGGAAAAGGCAGGATTAGCCTACAAAACAGGAATGATGGGCCTTGGCTTTGGGAATTAGGAAACTCAGAGGCAGAGGAACAAACTGAAGCCTGATTAATGATGCTGAAAAATTCAAAGTTTTAAAATATGCTTTTTCTTCCCTATAGTCATTTGATTGCTCAGCCAAGTCATAACTGCTTTCTTTCTAAAAACTATGGGTCATCTTCTGTTTCTTCAAGTTACAGTTTAAATCTCTGTGCGAAATTGAAGTGTAGTTCCAGATATTTCTTTTTTATAAAGGGCATCAAATTTCTCATTCTGGGCCGCTGTAAAGTAATTTTTCCAGTCACCAGTAATCCCTAAAAAATAAAAAAAGAAAACATATGAAAGATAAAAATATATCCATTATGAAGAAAAACCTAACATGTACCAAAGGAAAGATTAGAAACCTTAAGAAAAAACTTTGCTTGTATATGAAAACTTTAAAACGTCATTTCCTTAAAAAGTTGGACATTTTCTCTCATCTGTAAATGTGACTTATAACTAAACATACAGTCTAACATTTAAAAAGTTAGAAAGGCTGATTTTCTTATACAAATACATGGAAGTAAATTTTTTTCCTGAGAGAGATTCTTTTACTTTTTCTGACTGTTCTGGGTCATGGGGTTATCACTGAATCCTCTGGATCAATAGTGAGGGCATAGTATATTTCCTGAGTTACTTTGGGAAAATGTACAAAGAAGATTCATTAGCCCAAAAAACTATGAAACAGAAAGCTGATGAGTATAGTTTTCTAGTATTTATAAGTGAAAATGTAATGATATTTGGAAGATACTTGTTTTCATCAGGTTTGCACTTTTTTGCAGTTTTGGTAAAAATAATAATAATAAAATCACACATATAACATCCCTGAACATCTTTTCAAAAATTAAATGGGGGGGTATAAATTTACATTTAATTTCTCATACTTGGATGGTTATAAAAACTATTTTTTTAAAATGAATGAACTGTTAATGTGCAACAAATGTTCTTGGAATAATACTTTTCCCATTTTATAAAATATTAATTATACCACATTGAATTACAAACTATGTTAATTCATGATACTTAAATAAAACTTCTAAGTTCTCTAAGTGAAAAAGTCTTTCTAACAAGGTTGTTTCCTTGGTTATTATACTTTATTTTATGTTCACCAGATGTCAGTAGCTCTTTGTAATGTACATGAAGATCAACACAGACATATTTGGGGTAGTGCATCTTCAAAGATGTCATTAAAAACAGAGAACACAAATTTAAGAAATAAAAAGTTGTACATTAAGCATTATAGGGGTCTTCTGATCTGTGAATAAATTATACAATATACACAAACACTTTGTAATAATTTTTTAAATAAACTAAACACTAACTAAAGGCCAGATATTTGTTTTGTTGCAATTTGGGACATTGAATATCATCTGTCCCCTCCCTATTATGGTGTCTGTTGTGCCACTAAATGAGGACATTGATTTTTCCATGAAGTAGCCTTCAAGACTGGGCGTGACTAACTCCTGTGTCCTATACCCGTTTCAGCATTCAATTTTATGATTCTTATACCCCATCATTAGCTCTGTGAAGCAAATGTTTGTGTCATCCCTAAATGGCCTAGATAATAGTGCTGCAAATAGGTATTCAAAAAGAGCTTTTCCTGTATGTGAATTTTTAAGTGAATACATGAAAGAATGAATGAATGAATCTTGAACTATGTAGACTCATAATATTTATTTATTTCTTTTTTGGTTGTAACTGGACACAATATCTTTATTTTATTTATTTATTTTTTATGTGGTGCTTAGGAGCAAACCCAGGGCCTCCCACATACTATGTGAGCACTCTATAGCTGAGCCACAATCACAGCCCCGACTCATAATATTTATTACTTCTTTATGTGTAGTTTAGAAAATGTCCTAAATGCTTTCATTTCATTTGCTACAATCTTCCCACAAAGCTTGAGCCATAGATGTTAATATTTTCCCCATTTTGTCAGTGAGGTAGGCATAGTTTTGGTGGAGGACTTGATGTATTAAATGTCATAGATTTTAGCAAATGCATAGCCTGGATATATGCTTTAGATCTATCTAACCACAAATGTTTGATCTGTGTCACCACTAGAGGAGATACAAAAACTGACCCATTATTAGACAGGCATACTCTTTACTGTTGAAATTGGAGAAGTCATAGCATCCAAATAAAGAGCTGGTCTCCTCTACTTGTACATCTTATGAGATACCATAGGATGGCCTCTATTTTCATGTGATTGGAGGTAAAACTCTCCTGGAAATTACATAACTTTAACTCGTGGACAAAATTTGCATAGGGAAAAGCAACAAATAATTGATTTCCATCCTGTCAAAAACTACTATTATATTTATGTGTTTATTCCACACAAGACCAGTGTTCATCAAACAGAGTAACCAGTTACTGTTCCCAACTTTATGCTCAGGAACCTCAGCCCTGACACTAGCCAAAGTAACCAGTGGTCATAGAAAGAAGGAGGGTACAAAAATACTCTGATGTTTAATATTAATATATCTTCCTACAAATAGGCAATTCAAACATCATAAAAATAATCCAGGGACTGGCATGTCAGGCTGAGGACAGCCGTGTTGAAAGTCTTTGATATGCTCTCACATAATTGATTTTGTTACAGATGAGCTTGACTGATATTTATTGTTTCTTCCTCCACCAGCATGATAATGTTCCAGAAGTGGAGAAAAAAAAAATGGACAATTTGTATTCATCTGTTCAGTCCTTTTCAAAATATGAATTTGATGTATTTTTCTAAACTTTGTGGTAAAGGATACATACTACCTTTAAAAATCCATTTTGAAGAAGGAAATATTAAATGTGACTCCTTGAGAAATGATTTTTTTTACACAATTTTCTTAAATGAGGTAAAACTGTATGTCAAAAGCAAATGCTATATTCTTCGATGTTAAATTTGTACCCTATGTATCCTGTAATTCAGATAGTATCTATGGGGAGCAACAATTTCCCAAAGTGCTAAAAATTTTTAAAAAATGCTTTCTTTTGGTGAATCTCCTTTGTAAATTTATCACTATTGTCTAAATGAACTGGTGGCTGTAAAGAACAGAGTTCTGTAACTGAGTAAAATTCATATATCACTGAGGAGTGGAAAGGGGCCTATACCAATGTAGACAAAGAATTAAAGAAGTAAGAATGACAAACTTGGAATTATATCACAATTGTCAAAAAATCACTCTCACTTAACAGAATAGTAAATAACAGGAGAAATATTCTTCAGATATTTAATGTTTTCTACAAAGAGCTTTCACACATTGCTTCATTTAATAATGTTGACTCTAATTGAGCAAATTTTGGTGCTAGGTAAATATCAGTGTCCTATTTTTACAGATGAAGAACTGAAGCCTAAAGAGGCTAAGTAATGCAGAAGAGGTCACAGAGATAATCCTCCACAAGAAAGTAAAACAGAAAATTAAAATGAACAAAGAATTTACCTTTACGCATGAAAGGGGATTTGCTGTGATCCAACATTGCAGTGGGCAGGTGTGTGTAATTCACCAGAGGATTGTCCTTCATCACTTCAAATGAGGTGTGATGGATGATCTTATCCAAGATCTCATCATTTAGGGTCTTCTCTAGAAATCTAGTAATCTTCTTGATTTCCTCCTTTGGATTCTATCAGTGGGTAAAACACACATCCAAGGAAATGAAAATTGTGTAAATGACTATCATAATGTAAAAAATACACATTTATTATTTTCTTATGGGTTGACTCTAAATGTTGAAGGAAATTTATAGTGTGTTGGGTGTATTCTCCTTAATTTTTAAAGTAATTAAACATTGGCAACTCAAAATATTTTCACTTTTTAGACTAACTGATTATGCCCAACTTTGTTGGTCATAAACTCTTAAGAAATAGTAGATTCCAGGGCTCAGTAGAGAGCATTTGCCTAGCATGCTTAGCCATGGGTTTAATCTGAGCACCTCTAAAAAGGAAAAAGAAGAAAGTAAGAAAGAAAGAATGATTGATTCAAAGGTGCAAAGACATCAAGACCTAAACTACTCATTAAATATTAAGGATAAAATGAGCAAAATATGAAAAGTGGATCATTTTCAGTTGTTAATGACATAAACTTATCTTTGTAACTTCTTTGGAAGCATTTAAGCCTATGTGGATGTGTCTAGAAAGATTTTGGGAAAGTTAAGCTGAAGTTGAGAGTGATGAGTTAAAATTTACTAAACTGCATTGTCTATTTGTATGTTGGAGAGTGACATAAATATTCATGGAAAAAGTGAACATGGAATGATTGCTCAAATGTAGCAAACAATTAAAAAAAAAAACTTGAGTTGTGGACAGTATCCAAAGGTTACTCATGAGTGCAAAATCTGGGTAAATGTAAATTTAGAAGAAAAATTTGAAAAGAAAGGATGGTCAAAAGAAACATAGTAATGAAGAGACAAGAATAATGAATATAAGTCATTGATTTTATAATTAGAATGTTATTAATGATGGTATAAAGATGGATAAGAAGATATAGGAGATAGAAAAGCAATGATATTATTTTGGACTTGATAGATTAATTTTAAAAGTAAACATTAATCTTTATATCCTAGGACAGGGCAGGGATGTTATCCAGAATAAATATCCACCACTTTTACCTCTTTCATATCTTCATAGTACAAGAAAAGTATTGGATGTTCTTCCTTTTTCTTCCACCAGCCCTTCACATGATTAAACCATGAACCATAGGCCACTAAAACCAGGGGGGAAAAAGTCTGTTTCCATAAGCATTTATTAAATCAATTTTTCCTGAACAATAAGTTAAATCGTAAAGACATTTTGTGAAATTTGTTGATCATTGGAACTGAGAATATAAAATCAATTTTTAAAAGGTAAAATTAGATATTTTTACATGTATAAGCAATTAAATTTTTTTAAATGTGAAATACAAAGGAAACATTTCAAATAAAAATACAATGACTGCTAATAAATTACACTCGACCTCACAAGGAAGGAAACTATTTTTATACACATTGTTCACAACATATATCTGACTATTATAAATACAATTCAAGCTTAAACTTAAAACTTAAAACAGATCTAACTAGTGATTTGGGCAAGTTAAACAATATTTATTGTGAGCAGAGAATGAGAATGGATTTCTAGCAACTGAGAAAGGATTCTAAAATACTTTCATTATACCAATGATTCATATCAAGTTTATAAATTGGATGTCAGAGTAAAATGTTAGATATATTTCATTTAATTTTCTAAAATAAAATTTGAATGCATTTCTCTTGGATTTGAATGTACTGACTTGAAAAAAAATTTTTTGAATAAAAAGTCATTACATTAACAGTAATGGTTAATAGTATTGTTTAAAATTTTAAAAAATTATAAATTATAAGCTAAGGCCTACTTACCATCTCCAGTCATAAATTTCTCCAGATATTCTTCCCATGTTCCAGGAAAAGGTTGAAAATTATTCATTAAGTCAAAATGGTAAAATGATACTGCAACATCCTTGGCATTTCGAGCAAGATAAATCATCTTCAGGAGGAAGGAAAAAGAAAATGAAATGGAAGGTATTTTTACCAAAAATAAAATTTAAAAACTATAGGTAATTAAAATGGCAGAGTAGGTTTTCTCCTAGAAACTATGGGACCACAATGTTTCTTCATCAACACCTCAAATATAGAATCAGTTTAATTGATTTTTTCTAGTAGGGCAATGCTTGTATGAAATGAGAACCTGAGACATCTGTATGCTTTGGAAAAACCTTGTTAGTTTCTGGCTCCCTTAACTCTGTGGTCTACAAAGAAACCATGACATCTTTAGGGAGCACAAAGAATACCAACCAATTTGAAAATAACAAATTGTGAGACTTTGGGGCCCTAAACTCTACCACTTAAGTACCTGGAAGCACATGACAGTTGAAAAAGATGACTGCAGTGGAAAGCAAGGACAGGCATTAAATTCAGTTTATAGGGGTATCAGTTTAGAAACTGGAAGACACAGATCCACTTGCCCTTGCTTTTCTCCTCTAAAGATCACTAAAACCCTAGAAATTTTTCAACAGACAGTGATATAGGAACACTGAAACTATACCAAATAGTCACCTCCTAACTTGAGGATATCAATATAGTAAGCTCCCTCTGTGTGTGTTTTTTTTTTTGTTGTTGTTGTTGTTTTTTAATCTCTTGTATGCTGTGAATTGGGCAACAAGGAGGTTTGTGACCTGGAACTATTAGCAAGCATAAACCAAATAAAACAATATCCAGAAAAACCTGATCCTAGACAAAGGATCAGGAAATATAAGCCCAAAAGAGACATACTGGAAAATCCCAAACTCTATTCTACACCTGGGGCCCATCTACATGACCTGACCCATTGCCAGTAATGGCAGTGACACCCTGGGCTTTCATAGCTTCTGTTCCACAGCTGGGGCCCTCATGGGTAGTTCCATGTACCACAGCAGAAACAACAGCAGAGCTCTGTTTCTGCATGCCCTCCACCAGGTGGCACAAGGAGACCCAGCCATGAAGGTTCTGTCCTCCTTTCAAAAAGTCAGTCAGCACTAGCAGGTCCAAGGGGGTACCATATGCCTCTGCATATAGCATGAGCAGGGACAAAGCAAGATCACCAACAAACCCAGAATGTCAACACAAGAAAAACATTGCAGGGACTCGTGAAAATAAACTCCTATAGGAACAAAGTTCCCAAAATACAGTAAAAATTTATATGCTAAACCTCAACCGGATAAATAACTACTAAAATAATCCCCAAAACATAATGAAAATATATAGGATCCAAATAAAAATCATTTGTCTTACCCCAAACTAGGAAAATAATAATTTAAATGTGAAAAGACAAAAGACACCAATACTAATATGTATTAAGACACCAATACTAATATGTATTAAATTTTGACTTATCTGGCCAATATTCTAAAACAACTTCATAAAGAAGCTTCAAGATTCAATTAAAATTTTTCTTGAAACAAATAAAAACATAAGAAAGAATCATTTTATACATGAAAAGTTTTATATACATGGGAATTATAGATCTAAAATATACAATAACTGAAATAAAAAGCTTAATAAATGGACTTAATAGTACTATAGCTGTAATAGAGAATAAAATCAGCATGCCTAAAGATATATCAATAGAATTTACCAGATGTATGAGACAGAGAGAAAAAAGACTGAACAGAAATGAAAAAGTACCTTGGGGATCTGTGAGACAATAACAAAAGATTTCATGATCTTATATTCAGAATACTAGAATGATAGGAGAAAGAATAAAAAAAAAGTTTCTGAACAATGATTTGGAGAATTAATTAATAAAACCATCCATATTATTATGGTTTGTATATGAGGGGTCCCCCAAAAGCTCCTGTGTTAATGCAGAAATACCCAGAGGTAAAATTATTGGCTTGTGAGAGCTGAAATGAATCTTACTTTGAATGGACTAACTGGGTGGTAACTGTAGATAGGTGGGGCATAGTTGAAAGAAGTGGGTCACTGGGAGTATGAGTTGGAAGGGTTCGATTTCTCTGTGGTTCCTCTCTCTCTCTCTCTCTCTCTCTCTCATGGCCACCATGAACAGAGCAGGGTTCCTCCACCATGCCTTTCCTCCATGAAGTTCTACTTCTCTCCTTGGGCCGAAAGTACTAGAGTCAGTCCACCAAGGACCAAACTTCTGAAACCATGAGCCTAAAATAAACTTTTCTTCTTCTAGGTTGCTCTTGTCAGGTATTTTGATCACAGAAACAAAATGCTAACACTCATGCATATTTAAAAAAATAAATCTACAGATCCAAAAAGCCAAAAGAACTTCAAAAAGGAGAAACCCAAATAAAGTCAGACTGTTATGGTCTGAGCTTAATCAATATAGATTACAGATTACAAGTTATAGATTATAGGTTATGAAATATTAATTAATAAGTAGGACGATAGGATTATGTAATAAGTGTTATAGAATAAATAATGTTAAACTGTTTCCAAGATGTTAAAAATTGTTTTTCTGTACTTCATATGCCCACAAATGTGCTCAAACCCAGGATGTGTTGTCTGTTTTGCTCTGCTAACTGCTGTCTCCGCCCTTGTATCCTGCTTGCTTGACTGCACCTACATTTCCTAGGGTATGTTTTTTTCCCCTTATAAACCCCACAGAACTGGGACCTGATGCAGTTCCTTGCAGAGACAATTTGGGTCCTGCAGGGAGCAGTCCCATCTGGCTACATAAAAGACTCTAATTTGGACAAAATTCTAAATGAGAGTGTTTTCTGAGCAATCAGCCCACAATAAGACCAAGACAAATTTGTAAATAAACTTCTGAAATATAAGGACAAATAAAAATCTTAAAAACCAGCCGGCGAGATGCAACACTGCATACTAAACACCATTGATTTGAATGGCAATGAGTTTATCAACCAAAAATCATGGAAGCCAAAGAAGTGGCATAATACTTTTCAAGTACAGAAAGCAAAATATTGTCAACTCCAAATCTATATGCAGTTAAAACTGTACTTTAGGCAGGAAGGGAAATAAAGATATTCTCAAATAAAAGGGGGAAAAAAACTACTACTTGCAGATCTATCTTAAGAAATGGCTGATGGGACCTCTGGAGAAAAAAAGAAAATAATCATAGAAGAATTAAATCTTCAAAAAGAAAAAGAGCAAGAAAATGGGTAAAAGAGAGGTAACATAAAAGAATATCTTTGACTTAGTGAGTTTCTTCTTTATATTTTATAATTGAAGCAAAGTTGCACCAGCATGTGATGAGGCACTTTATTCATGTCCAGGAAACACTTTAGACCATTATGTTTAACATATGGGGAGGAAATAAAATTGAAGATATCTATATTTTCTTTGAAGGAGAAAAATATTGACAACTTATCACAAGAGTCTGTGATAAGTTATATATATTTATATATTTTAGTGATATCTAGAGCAGTCACTAAGAAAAAATATATCTAAAAGCAAAAACAATAACAAAAAAACTCAAAAACATTATAAACAAGTCAATATGAAACTCTTTTTAAAATAATTCTGGTAAATGGTTCTGGTAAACAAAGAAATGAAAAAAAAATAGAAACAATGGTATGACAAACAACAAAACGCAGAGGAAAAAACATGGTGGATTTCAGTTTTAAAATCTCAATAAGGAGGGGAGGCAGGGATAGGGAGGGCAGCAGAATACAACTGACACTAGGATTGCTGTATGTATACACATGGATGTATAACCAATGTGATCCTGCAATCTGTACACGTGGAAAAATGAGAATTCATACCCTATTTGAATCAAATGTATGATATGTCATGATCATTGTATTGTCTTGAGCAATAAATAAATAAATAATGAATTAAAAAATAAAAATATACATAAATTATATACCAAAAAAATAAGCGTTTTAAATGTAAATGGTATAAGTATGGCGGAGTACATTTTAAAAAACAGGATTAAATCACATGATGTTTACAAGAAACTCACTTCAAAGTGACAATAAGTTGAAAGTGGATGGAAAAAGAAATCTAAGGCAAATATTCATTAGTAAAAACTAGGAGTGACTGTATGAATATGAGACAAAATAAATTCAGTACAAAAAATTACTGGGGACAAGAAAGGACATTGCATAATGACAAAAGGATTAACCCACTAAGGAAAGAATGCAATCCTATTGCCCCAAAACAATATTGCTTCAAAATACATGCAGCAAAACCTGGTAAAGCTAAAATCAGCAATAGACAAGTCAAAAGTTTTAGTTTTGGTGTTTATAGTCCACCCTCACTAGCTGACCGAACCATCAACCAGTAGAAAACAAGAAAGGATAAAGAACTGAATAATATTATCAGACAACAGGGTCTAAAGAAAATCTATAGACCATCCCAACTAACAAGGAAAAATGCATTCTTCTCAAGTGTCCATGGATTTTTCACAAAGTTAGACCAAGATAAAATATATTTTACAGAATAAAATTATATAATGTATGGTCTTTGATGAAAATGGAATCAAGCTAGAAAGCAATAACAAAAAGGCAACACGAAAATACTTAAACACTTGGAAATTAAACAACATACTTTGAAATAATCCTACAGCAAAAGAATAAATTTCAAATGAAATAAAAAGATTCATAGTATTGAATAAAAATTAAAGTAAAACATATCAAAATTTGTGGAATGGAACCAAAGTAATTCTGAGAAGAAAATTATTACACTAAATTCTACTCTAGAAATAAATGAAAGACACCAAATTAATAATCTACATTCTTACCTAAAAAATTAGGAAAAAAAGAGTAATTAAACTCAAAGTACGCAGGAGAGCAATAATAAAGATAAGAGCACAAATCCATGAAAATAAAAGTAAAAATGTAATAGAAACAAAAATCTGGATTTTTAAAAATTAAATTAATAAAATTGATAAACTTCTAGCAAGAACAACAAAGTTAAAAGAGACAAGATACAAACAACCAAGATCAAAAACAAAATGGTGGATATCATAACACATCCTAAAACCACTGTAAGAATGAGGTGGGTATGTATTATGTGAATAATTTTTCATTCATAAATTCAACAGCTTGGAAAATTACCTCACATTCACAAACTAGCAAAATCAGGTAAAATGAAATTAATAATCTTAATAACACTACAGCTATTGAAGAATTGAATTTGAAATTTAAAACTTACCCCAAAGCAAATATGCAGACACAAATAAGTGTTCACTGAAAAATTTTACCATACAAATAAGAACTAGCACTCTCATGTTAAGTTTTTGTAGAAGACCATAATATCTAGGGACAGCAGAGGAATAAAAGTAATAACACTGTCTTGAGGTTAGGATTATGTTGCTACTCAAATTTAGATATGTTAGGTATGAAAGCTTACACTAATTTTTTTTTAATTGAAACAATTCCTCATGTAGCTCAGTGCTCATGGTCACAAGTCAATTAAACAACTGGCCATTTTCTGACTATGTGAATGGATAAAGAGACAGGGTCACACTCTAAAATCAGCTTGCAGTCAAGAGAATACCTTGCAATTGTTCTCCCAGAAAGACTTAGGAAGGAGGTCAATTGGTAGATGTGTCTTGATGAGACGAGGTGATGGATTCTTCTCTAATTGTTCTATACCTGGGGAATTTTAGTTTGGTATTTAGAAATATTAGAGTCTCCAAGGAGCCTGCATTTCCTTATCTTCCCAGCCAATTTTTCAAGAGGCTTTTGAGTAGCATATCATGTAGCTAAATGTTGTGCCAATTACAGGCATTTCTCTATATTCCAAGAGGTAGTATTGTGTAATAATTAAGAGTTTATAACTTGAGACTATCCTTCCTGTGTTAAAATCCTGAGTATCTTTTATTCATTGTGAGATATTTTAAAAATAACTCTATGTTTCATTTCCCCCTTCTTCAAATTGAGGAATTGTAATTCCCCCTTTAGTAATTTAAAGATTTATCATATCTCCTTCTTCAGGTCTCTCATACAGTAAATCTTAAAGTCCTATGCATCCTTTTATTGTTTTACACAATATTACTTATATTCAATCTAACATGTAAATTACTTGTTCATCCTACATAATCTTGCTACATTCTGCATAGGAAGTTCTACACACAAAAAAACTGTATCTAATTTACCCATTGAAAATAATAATGGTTTCTGTTGTTTGCAATAATTTATTATATATGTTAAGTCTCTCAGTTATCATTATAACACTCTTCAAATGTTCCATATGACACATATTTGTGTTTGTTTACTTCCTTGTTTACTGTTTATTCCCATACCCACTTCCCATCCTCACTCCAAACATACACAATACAATCGAGACTCCAGCAAAGTAGGTAGATACTTATTTCCTTCACCAAGTGATGTCCAGTACAGCAGAGAGAACAGCACATGATTAGCATCAATAAGAACCTTCTTACATCAATAAAAATAGGATTGGCAGAAGCAAAATGCCTAGTTAAATTTTAATTTCAGATAAAAAAGATACTTTTTAGAATAAATATCTCCCATGCAATAATAGTCAGTTCTCTGAATTTTCAATTTAATTGAGTTTCTTGTATTTTATTGGAAAACCAATTAATTATAGATCTATAAAACTCAACCAGTGGGCTGGGGTTGTGGCTCAGTGGCAGAGCACTTGCCTAGAGGCCCTGGATTTGATCCTCAGCACCACATAAAAATAAATTAATTAATTAAATAAAGTTAAAAATTAAGGGAAAAAAACCTCAATTGGGGATTTTATTATACTTCTAATCTGGTAGCTATTGTCAATTTCCTTAGCATAGAGAAATGAAAAATTGTAATATCCATAATTCACTACTTCTGAATGTCCATTAATTTATCTGTTTCTTTTATGAAGTTTTTCCAATATCTGTTTTTCCAGGTTCTTCCCTGAGTGTTCCTGAATAATTGCTTTCCCTTCTCTGTTGTATCATCATTTCACCATATGAGTCTCTTTAAATGAGCCATTTATATCCATAAATATGATTGTTAAGAAGTATCACAAGTATCCCCATTCAGGATGCAGAGTAAATCTGTGGGCCAGAGTTTACCTTCATTTCCTGGTGGAACAACTATTCCCTCTCTGGCAGCTCTACCCAGCTTGCCTCAGATCCTAACATTGCTTCATACCAATGACCCTTCATCACTTGTCTCAGATTATTTGGCTCAATCACTGTTTCATTTTATACTTTCCTATGAATTTGAAGTCTTACCATACTTGGGAAATCATTTTGGTTACTTCCCCAGCATAATCCTTCAGTTCCAAGCCTTAGCAGTTTATCTTCAGCCTACAGACAACTACACCAAGGACTGACACCTTCCCAGTTGATCTCTGTTTGCCTATGGAATTAATCAGTCCAGCCTGTCTGCTGAGGGATACGTCATTTATGGGAGAGGATTTGGATTCTGCTCTTGACATTCATAAGCAGGTTTACCACCATCCATCTTCTTATCTCTGGTTTCCAACAGCACTTGAGAGAGCCAAGCTTCCCTTCAGCTACCTTTCTCTCATGTCTGTAGGACACCATGCTCTTTCATTGCCTCCTAGGTAAATGACTATTTCTTGTCTTTTGACAACTCCTATCCCTGTACCAAGCCTCCACATCTTGGTGGTTTTCACAGAGTTCTGCCCTTCTCAAGTTTTTTCTCTGGCTTTCCCTGGGCATTAGCATGGCTTCCCATGCCCAATAATCCTGAGAGTGCCCTAATGCATATATTTCAGCAAGTTCCAAATACTATAATTTTAATTCATCATTTAAAATTTCCAGTGTCATCTCAAACCAACCATTTCAAAGTTGAATTATTAATAGTCTTACATCCAGATGTATTCCTCTCCAAATATTTCCCATAATAGTAAATGATTCCATAGTCCACTTGGTTTTTCAAAATAAAACTCTTGGAATCATCCTTGATTCTTTTATTTCCCTTACATTTCTTACACAGTTCATCAGTACGATAAGAACAACATATGTCTTGTCTTGAATCCTCAGTTCCATCCCCTCAGCAGCCAGTGGAATCACTGCATTTTAAATAATAAAAATAACAAAGCTCTATAAGTTCTTCCTTGCTTAAAACACTTTTGTGTCTTTTGCACTATGTTTAGAATAAAATTGAATAACGCATTAAGAATCACAAGCCTTACATAATTTGTCTTTGCTTAATCTCTGTTTGCTTTACATGCCCCTTTCCCCTCTTTTGTTGGTCATGTTTTAGTCCGTGTCCTACACCAGAGTCTTTTCTGCATCAAGGACCTCATGCCTAAGGCTTTACCTTCCTGGAATGTGCTTTTTCTGACTGTGTGCATGGCTTTGAGTCTTAATTCCCAGTAGCTGCCCCTAACATCTAACCTAAAGGAAACTCTCCTATCTTTCCATTTCCTAACATCTGATACTTTGTAAGACTAATAATATGGATATATTGTTAATGTATTGACTTTTTAAATATCACAGTATTATTGTAAGCTTCCCAGGAATAGAATATATAATTAATATTCATTTTGTATCTGATTAACAGCAAAATGAAGTACTTTAGAAATACTCAATAAATATTTTTGAAATGAAAAATTAATTTTATAAATAATAAATTCTCTACCTAAAACAGGGATGGAACTTCTTTGCTTATTGATGTAATTATAGAAATGTCTTAAATTTAGAGTTTTTGCTCTAGTCTGCCAAATTCTACACAATAAAAGTCAATAAAACATAAGAAGTGTTGTTTATATTATTAACCAAATTTTCAGTTATTTACTTCAATCAAATAATATCATCTTTGGTATCATACCTGGATATGAAATGGACTAAACAAGTTTTTTTATATGCCTCACTTATCATATGGCTTGCAAACTTTCATTTCTTGCTACCAAATCTACTTGATTCTTGAAATGGGCCATTACAGATATAATAATACATATAATTTTTGTAATATTACAAAATTATAATCACCAGGTGACTTAAATTTACCTGACATTCTCATTCCAGGAACAGCCATTTCCAGCATGGGAACTTTAGCAGTAATAACATCTCGCTTACATTTTTCAACATCTCCATCATTTAGAACCATGTCCAAGATTTCACTAATCCAAGTGGTACCTGTGGGGAAAAAGCAACATTTTTATAATCAGCACTTAATTCCAGGGAGTAAAAGTAGAAGCTTGTGCTCTTACTACATTTTATTAGAAACTTAATCCTGGTTTCCATTTCTATATGACAATGTCCATTTAATACACTGGAAATAGATGGTGGCACTAATGGATAGGAATGTTAACTTTACTTAGGATGATAATTTTATAGAGAAGTTGATTCCAGAAAACAAAAATTGAAGTCAGACCTGCATCAGTCAGGCTGCAGAGCTCACCTGATTTGGGGTAAGTGGCTATCACAATGTCATCTGGCCTGCTGCAGAACTGTTCAATCCTTTCCCAGTTGTGTGCAAAAGCATAAACCATGGGGCAGCCATGGACCATCTTCAGATTTTTTCGCAGGACATCACTTGGGGAAATCATTTTTGTCGTGAGTCGTACATATATATACTTAGTACACTTCCTACTAACAGTTAAATCATGGAGAAATTAAGAGAATAGACATTGGAATCTGAGTGAGAAATGTCATCCTGGAGAAAATGCAATATAACAGAAAATAAAATTGGCCTTTAACACACTGAGTACACAAAGATCTAAATACAAAGAGCATTTTTGTGAGCATAAGGTCACAAATTGCAACAGCAGCAACTGGCTCAGTGACAAGCAGAACAAAGGTCTTTAACAGAAACTTCGGAAAGATATAGAACTACACATCTTATTTTCAATTAAAATCATATTTCACAGAAATATACTAAAAATCTGGATTTAGAGCAGAACAAATCTCTTACTGATCATTAGCTTGTATGTTGTACCTCACTTTTCCTTTCAGAAAGTCTATTATCATTCTTACCCTTGCTCTGTAGGTAATGCATGTGTTTTCTCTATTTGCTTCTAAGATTGTTTTCCTTATCACTGGTTTTGCACAACTGAATTATGGTGTTTCTTGATATGTTTATTTGTGTGTATGTGTGTGTGTGTACACAAGTATAAACTTTAGCTATACTGAGCTTCATGGAATTGTGAGCTTATGGTTTCTATTAAATTTGAGTGATTTTTGCCATTATTTCTTCAATTTTTCATTTTTATTTGGCACCGTTGCTTTATATTTATCACATTAATTAACAATTATTATTCACTACAGTCCACATGTAAGCACCATGTGCTATTGGTCCCATCTGAGTTTGTTATAACTGTGGAGTCCCAGGTCCCAATCTAGAACCAGAATTTAAATTTTAATAAGATCTTCAGATAATCTCTATTCTCTTAAAACTTTAGAGGAGACTTTAAACCACCTTTAACTTACTCTCTGACAGTGTAGGGTGTGTATAAATGGTTTATCACAATGAATTCAATATTTCCTAGAAAATACATTGCCTTGATTTTTGTCAACATGCATTTTTTCTCCCTAATTTTTATCCACTCTGAAGATGAATCTTTCATTTTGTAGACAGCTAAATAACCAGAGCTTTGGAGTGTCTGCTCAAAGACAGAGAAAGGGTGACAACCCATGAATGGACTTTAGTTCTGTTAACTTGATCATTCTGCACAGACTATGGGCCCAACCCAGAGTCTATCATTGTCTCGAGTCTATCTCATTCAAATAAGGGTGTTCACAACTTGTAATGGCATTTTTCTTCAACAGAGCAATTGCTCTCTGATTAAAAGTTCAAGCTGTTCATGTTAGAAAAATGTTGCCAGAGAAAGATGGAATGAGTGACAAAACACAGCGAGGAGGCCAGTTCTGACACATACCAGTCACATCTGGGATGTGGGTGTGGCCAATTCAGGAAGCTCCAGGGGATTAGACATGAGTTAGCATTGCTCACCCTGACCAGTGGCTGATGAAGAGTTCAGAATTATAGGGAAAGAGCCACACAGAGGGCAGGGGGCTGGAAAACCTAAAATGACTAGTGTCATTGACCAGATGTGCAGGAGGATGGTTTTCACTAAAATATAAAAATTATGTTGTAAAAACATTTTAAACCTACAGGAAAGTGGCAGGCAATTTGTGTGGTTGTAAAATATATTCTATATGACATATAAAGTCTTCCTGTTCAACTTAAGCCATAGGCTGAAAATTAAAATGTCTAAGATTGACTTAAAGATTAATGGATTAAAAGAGGAAATGAAAAACAATACTGCTCTTAGAAGAAACTGAATCATCGCCATTAAATATAAATAATTCTTTATAAAAAGACACTTATTTCCACTCATTTAATTCTAACAAAATTCAACTCTATTAGATCCATATCCAATTCCAGCTCCCAAAATTAACATAGAATAAAGCATATTCTGTATTCTGGAATGTGCTTTAAAGTGGTATGTCTGTGTGTATGCGTGTGTTCACACATGTGTGCATGTATGTGAAGGGAAGATGGGAGAAGAAAATTGAGGACTTGGATAGGATTTCTTTATCTGAAAGTACCTTGAAGTGTCAAAAGAAGATCCCCAATCCTGGCAACACTATGGAAGTATCCCAGTGAACCCAGAAAAAATAAAAGTGAATATTGAAAGCTTGAGAGATTTTACATAGCATAAACAGTAGTACTGCATATCCCATGGGAAAAATAAGAATCACGAGAAAGATGTTCAAATTATGAAACTGATAAAAACAGAAATTGTTCTAATGGGCACAATGCTCTGTAAATGTAGGACAGAATCTTTAAGAAAACAGATCAAAAAGCAAATTTTACCTTACAATTTAATTTCCTTGTTCAGTTTTGTTTTCAGTCAGTGGTACTTACTGTGATGAGTCCTTGGAGTCAGTGGTGGCCCTGGAGACTTCAGCCGTAACACTAGAAAGATAAACAAGTCTAAGGACAGATCCAACACAGCAGTCAGTGATAGCAGTCAGCGACTCCACATGCAGTTACAATGTGAAGAGTTTGAACTACACACACACACACACACACACACACACACAGACACCCCACACCAGAGCCCTGCTTTCTCCACAGCTGGCAGAACCAGGAAGCCTGGGAAAGGAAATGGAGGAGGGTGGTGACTAGAAGTCAGCTCAGGCCAAGTTTGATTAGATTTGAATTCCCCCACAGGATACAAAGGGTCTGAGAGAAACTCAGCTGGAAAGCACATGAAGGGTCAGTGGATCAAAATGTTTTGCCTCACTACTAAGAGTGTCTTGTAATAATTTCAATCATAATGAAAAGTGTTTGTGCTGTACGTTATGTTTTCATCTAAAAGAAACATGAGTTTCCAATATGCTGGAGAGATCAAGTGTACTGAATATACACTAAAGATGAATATTTATTTGTTTATTTGGAGAACAGAAACAGAGATCCCATGGTGCTCTTTGTCACCCTAATTATTTCCATAACCTCTCAACTTTTTTTTTTTTTTTTTTTAGTGTTAACTGACTCATATAAACAGAGAAGGAGTAAAGTAGAAGCTAGTAGTGTGTGTGAAGGGAGGAAATTTGGGGCCAAGAAATATACTCTTGTCTTCCACTACTTCAGGTACCTATAAGTTTCCTTTTAATTCAGTTGCTGAAAGGAATTCTTTGGTTAATGGCATTCAACATAGATTTAGCTACAATGACAAGCACCAAGCCATTGCCAAGTAATTAAACTTAGGTAAGGCACAGGGAAGTCAGAAAGCCCTGAAATGTCTTTTATATCAGCAATTTTATTTACAGATTCTTAAGAAAAAAATTTCAAGGGTGTTTTGTTTTTAAAAGACATTGCCAATTTATTCATAATTATTTGGGGATATTTAGAATACTTTTTCCAAAATTTCTTTACATACTCTTTTATAACCAAAAAATAATGTATTGTAATATACACACTGATTTTAAGCTGAATTTTGCTATTATTATAAAAAATTTTTTGTTAATTTGGAATAATTTTTTAAAGCAAAATTATTAAACCAAGTGAAATATACTTGGAGAAATCTGTACTAATTTAAATTCACATCAGCGGAATATCAACATACCTTTATCCATCACAGTGATCAATATTTGATAAAGGCGAATTTGTGGTGGTGTATGATCTTAAAAATTTTTTTCATCAAATTGTTTTAGGTGGCTTTTTTTAGTTACATCCAAGCTGGATTGAATTATATTATTCTAATATTAATTTTCAGGGGGTATCGAGAAAGCTGCTATCAGTCCATTCTTGTTTTACTACTGAAACATATATGTTATTGTGATAGCCATGTGTACATAAAAGACATTTATATTTTTTCTTCTGTTAATGGAATATCTCCCCTAGTTGCCATTTTCCTTTTATTTTTTTTCATAGACTGTTACATGCAATGAGAGTCTGATATTAAGGAGAAATTTTAGTTTTTGTTATTTCTTTTATAATAGAAAAATTTTTGTAAGAAAGGAACTATTTCTTAGTGCTTTTTTGAAATTATATTCTTAAGGCAAATTTAAAGCAATGGTAATGCATGTTTGCTGGTTGTATCTGCGTTGGTGAGGAAAAGGGCTCTAAATTTTAGTTACATAAACTTTTAATTATCATCATGCATATTTTTCACCCCATGATTTTTGCATATTTTTATATAAGACCCTCAGTAGATAACCTACTAATAATGAATGGATGGTCTAAATATTTTAAAGAGCAGAAAAAAAGGAGTGTAAAGTAGAAAGAAGCCTTGAACCTGGAAATGCAATTTTTGTTATTATATTTAACTCAAGGCAAATCAATGATAGTTTTTCCTCAGATTGGGATTTTTTTCCTAGTTGTTGTTTATATTTTGAGTATATTTGGATTATTTTTCTGATCAAGTCACCCACATTTTCAAGTCAGCATATGCAAGTTTTCAAGTTTCTATACCAGCAGCTTCTGCATGACTCTGAGTGTGTGTGTGTGTGTGTGTGTGTGTGTGTGTGTGTGTAGTTACTCTTCTTATGAATGTATGAGTCCAACTAAGACCTTTCCAAAATTTATACTAAGTGTCTTGAGATCCAGGATTAAGATTTGTTTATGTTTTTAAGAAATGAAGAAATGAGTTTAGGATTAATTTCACATCACCTGCCTGTAGTACAGTATTATAAGAGACATAGTTGGCTTAATATACACCCTGCAAATAACTTCATGTGGTCATAAAATAATAAAAAATTTAGCTAGGAAATAAACACAGAACAAGGAGTCAGAACTCTACCCATACATCTGGGAGGCATATTACTATTCTTGGTATCATCTTGAATGTTTCCTGAAGAGCTGTAACTTTATGAACCAGGCTGAGTGCACTGAAAATCCACAAGGATCAAAGCAGAGAAAACAGGATGATGCATTTCACTCACCCCTCACCCGTGCAAGACATTCACAAGTCTTTCTTTCCAGCATACACTCAACCACCCTTTATGTTTCCAGAACTTCATTTTTAAATCACTTTCACTTTCCCATTTGTGCTACTTTTTGCCAATTATATTAGAGATTAAGGGTTGACGATCAGAACTAAAGAAAGTTTCTATCCTGTTCTTTGTTACTTTGCTATTATAACCTGGAAAATATTCCTTAACTTCTTTAGTATCAATTTCTACTTTATAATATGTTGATTTAGAGTCAGGACAAAGTAGGATTTTGCATGAAAGAATTGTCTAGCTTTTCTTTGATTTCTGCTTAGGCAGTAAATATCCCAAGGTATTACCTAGGAGTTTCTTCATATGTACACACACACACACACACACAATCATGTTCTGTCACTATATTCATTAAATATTTTACACATTTTATAAAAGTATATAATCACTATAATGGCCTTATTAAACATTATATATCAGTAGATTATTAGTTTGCTGAATTAATATCACAAGAAAAGTGACTACTCCTACATTGAAACATTATAGGACAGCTACTTTGAGCAATCACCTACAATCTTAACCTTAGATATATATTTCTTATTTGTTCATTTAAGTTTTAACAAGTGGCATGTGATTATACTTCAGATGACACCTGGGCAACTGTCTTATCATTTGTGATAAGACAGGTAATATGAGATAAATGTGAGACACTTAGAGTAAAATTACTACATTTTCTAATAAAGTTTATGAAGATGCATTCAAATGAACATTTCAGATAAGCATTCAAATGAACAGTTTATTCAATTGAACATTTCAGAAAATTGATATGAATTTTTTGACAGAGTGCTGTAAATGAACAATATTTAATATTTTAATGCCAACAGTGATATTTTGATTGAGATTAATTCTAAGACTTGTTAGTGTAGTTCTGTCTTTTGAATGAAAATGCTGGCTACCTGTTTTAAAATTTCTTGCATATATTTGAGGAAAAGAATAGAAAATGTCTGAAATGAAAGGTTATGGAAAATCCAGGATGTGTGGTTAGTAACAGTCATAATTTTATTTTCCTTTTTGTTGAATGCTATGTTTAAAGCTGTACAACTAATATTTGAATGGGATTTATGGTTTAAAATTTCATGACAGTTATTTTTTTTGTTATAAAAGAATGAGTCATTTAGTTGTATTATATAACAGAGCCATTACTTTATAAATTAGGAAAAAATCATTTAAATTATTTGTGATGCATTATTTTCCATCAGTAGAGTACTCACAATTATTAAGAGCATCTGCAAAGTGAAGAGAAGCAAAGGACACCATCAGACCTAGGTAAGTCAAATGGAGAACTAAACACAGATTTTTAACAAGTTCAAAAATTCAATTCATGCCATCTAATACAGATTCCTTCATTATTAAATCTCTACTGTGTACATCTGCCACAATCAAGGAAAATAAAAATAGCATGTAAGAATAGTGTTGCAGTTTTACTTAAAGATTATTAAAGCAAAAAAAAATTGTTGTTGTTTAAAATGAATGTCTTAGGGGGCTGGGGTTGTAGTTCAGTGGTAGAGTGCTTGCCTAGCACCTGTGAGGCACTGGGTTTGATCCTCAGCACCACATAAAAATAAAAAATAAATAAACTAAAAGTATATGTTTATCTACAGCTAAATAAAGAAAGATTGTATTCTACAAATAATTCATTGTCTTCGTAACAAACTTCTGCAATTTACATGATAATGATTCTCAATAGTTATAGGCAGAATAGGCAGGGGTAAGTGCAGGCTCATTAACAATGATGCCTTAAAAGCAAAAGCACAGATGATGCTCCAATGCCAAAAAAAGATCTTTGGGGCATACAATATGTTGTTATTTTCATAGTTGAAATATGGATTATAATTTGGTCATTGAGTGAATCTGAGATTTTATTAAAGCATTGCACAATTAAGTATTTTAATTTGCTTGCTAATTGGCAGTGTAATTTTCTTATTGTTAAAAACAATAAAGACAGCTTTCTCTTTAAAAATTGTTTAACCTGGAAGAATAAATTTTCTATTCACATATTGAATTTGAATAGATGAACACAGTTAAATAAATCAAAGATAATGGAAAATATGACTGACAAAAATTGTCTTCATATGACAGGTAGGTAATTGTAATATTCTAAGCTGCCAGTAGAGAAAGTCTAAATTACTTTTGGAATTTTTTACATAAAATATGGCACTCTAAAATTTTAGAATTTGATGCAAACAATATTTTTGTTTTCTTCACAAACTACACTTTTGAAATAGGTAGTACATCTGATTCCATGTTGGAGAATGCCTTACATGGTTTGCCTGAGAGGCATTTGTTTAAGGATGAAAAAAGTATATGTAATTGAGAACAAATAAATATTAAACCTTGCCCAAGGAAAGAAGGAAAAGATTTAGTTTCTCTGGCTTAAAAAACTTAGTCTCAATTTTACAGCATGGGCATATTCTTTCCCTTTGGAACAATCTGAATGTAGATTGTTCTTTTTTTCTTCCTAGGAACTCAATCTCTTTAATAAGCTTACATTAACTCTTTATTCTGATATGATATTAATAAGTAAATCATTAGTTTACTACTTTACACATAATTGAATAACATCCATCCATTAATGTAACATGGCCAGGTGCCAATAGGT